AACTAACGAGAAATCTAAATCTTTCACCTTCACTTTCAAAGAAATCATAACAGTCTTTTAAAAAACATTTAAAAAAAATGTAAGTATTGTTTCTACAAAATTTAGGGCTTAGGGTTTGGGACAGACACCTTCCAAATGATAGTTCCCTATGAATTATGATTTTGTACATATTTATCTTATTAATATCTCTATTCATGCTTTATGTTTAAATAGATCATAATGTAGTCCTCATAAACATCTAAGATCTGAATACTTAATTGTTTTTTTATTGTGGGACTGCAGTATGTACTAATTTGGTTGAATGGTCCATATATTGTCTTATCTATCTATCTATCTATCTATCTATCTATCTATCTATCTATCTATCTATCTATCTATCTATCTATCTATTTCTCACTCTCTGTTTCTCCCTCCCTCCCTCCCTTGTTTTTCACAGTGTCACTCAGTGTCACGCTAGGGTAGCAGTGTTAAGGCCGGGTTGGGTGAAGGCTGCAGAACTGACGTCATAACACGCACACAGCTGCTGTGGGTCTCCTCTGGCCTTAACAAGCAAAGGCCATCCAGTTCTCAGCTCTGCACGAAAGCATGCGCCAGAGTGGACACAGTGTAAAGTGTGTTATCCAGCACACATTTACATCACAAATCATTTCTCTTAATGACCCATTATCTAACAGTACAACCTCGTCTCATCCTCTCCACTGTCTGCGCACTGCAAGCTGAGCTGGTGACCTAATATTTATCTAATCTGCTCCAGAATATCAGCAGTGTGCTGACAATAACAGGTAGCTTGTGGTTTGTGCTCGTATTTTCCACACTCTGCATACACCAACCACGGCCACCTCACACTGAGAACATGTCACAGCTGAGGAGCGGGCAGGGGGGAGGGGGCGATATACTGGGAACACGGGCGAGTGGAGGAGGCAGAGAGGGGGGCTGGACAGTCCAGCAGGACGGACTACCCTGGTATTTCAGTTTGGACAGGAGTCTGGGTGGTTTGTCAGATAGTTAAAATAACACAGTTTGCCGGTGTGCCGGTGTCTTCACCTGTGTTTGTCTGGAGAGTCTCTCAGGGTCATCCATCCACACTCACACTTACAGGAACACAGACGCAGTACTGCTCACACACAGAGGCATTGTTTATTTAGCCTGCCCCCACAGCTAATTTGAGACAAAGCTGGGAAATAATCTACATAAAACTCAGCCTACAGTGTTTGTGTACTGTGTCCTCCTAGCGTCTTCTTCTATTTGCAGAAGAGCTTAAATTAAACTGTGATTTGAAACATCATTTCCAGCAAACCCAAGAGGTGAATCCTGCTATAGTAAATAATGTATTATTTATACAGTTTGGGGTTATATTCGGTTGTTTGTTAAGCCGTACAGACGTTTGAACTCACCTCAGCTCACCTCAAAATTATTATTATAGCAGGTTTCGTGTATTTTAAAAGTATCACAAGGCAGCTTTCCAGAACAGAAAACTGTAATCAAAACATAAAATGAAAAGACTCAATATAACATCAACTCTTCAGTGTTTACTGTGTCCACTCTGTGCCTTTATTACAGCTTTCTTTTCAGACTTGTTCTCAGTTTCAGGTGTATATATATATATATATATATATATATATATATATATATATATATATATATATATATATATAGGAAAAAAAAATAAAAAATAAAAAAAAATATATATATATATATATATATATATATATATATATATACTGCTGTTTTTGGAAGAAAACCTTGTATCTCCAAAATGGTAACTTTACAGGAGAAGAAAAAACATACTTGACTTTTAATGTAAGTCAATGGAGAACCAGAATTTTTTCCAAGTCCTTTTGGGTCATTTATCATGAAATTTACACACAATGTAAAGGGCAATAGGCGTTTTCAGATGTCAAAAACTGAAAAACGACAAAAATGGAGATACAAGGTTTTGTTCGACATACATATATACACCGATCAGGCATGACATTATGACCACCTCCTTGTTTCGACGCTCATTGTCCATTTTATCAGCTCCACTTACTATATAGGTGCACTTTGTAGTTCTACAATTACAGACTGTAGTCCATCTGTTTCTCTGCATACTTTATTAGCCCCCTTTTACCCTGTTCTTCAGGGTCAGGACCCCCATGGACCCTCACAGAGCAGGTACTATTTGGGTGGTGAATCATTCTCAGCACTGCAGTAACACTGACGTGGTGGTGGTGTGTTGGTAGTTTGTGTTGTGCTGGTCTGAGTGGATCAGACACAGCAGTGCTGCTGGAGTTTTTAAACACTGTGTCCACTCACTGTCCACTCTATTAGACACTCCTACCTTGTCAGTCCATCTTGTAGATGTAAAGTCAGAGACGATAGCTCATCTGCTGCTGCACAGTTTGTGTTGGTCATCCTCTATTTCTTCATTAGTGGTCACAGGATGCTGCCCACTGGACGCTGTATATTTTTGGTTGGTGGACTATTCTCAGTCCAGGAGTGACACTGAGGTGTCTCCAGCAGTGCTGTGTCTGATCCACTCATACCAGCGCAACACACACTAACACACCACCACCACATCAGTGTTACTGCAGTGCTAAAAATGATCCACCACCTAAATAGCACCTGCTCTGTGAGGGTCCATGGGGGTCCTGACCACTGAAGAACAGGGTAAAAGGGGGCTAACAAAGTATGCAGAGAAACAGATGAACTACAGTCTGTAATTGTAGAACTACAAAGTGCACCTATATAGTAAGTGGAGCTGATAAAATGGGCAATGAGCGTAGAAACAAGGAGGTGGTCATAATGTTATGCCTGATTGGTGTACACACAGTATCTGAATTTTGAATTTTGAACATTACCTGATAAATTGTTCCATAGTTTTCAGGGTTTTGCATGCAGTTGTCTTTTCTCCTGCTGTAGATTTTTATTGAACACATTGGTTTTCTCAAGTAAGCTATAAAGTTAGTGACGTTAGCTTAAAACCCTCGTGTCAGGATGCTATACGTTCAGGAAAGCTGGCTGGCCAGAGGGATGCCAACTAGGCTGGAAAAGACTGTGAAAAACATATAGCTGCTATATAAACCTGAATAGGTGTTATTCTTGTTGTAGCTAGTGTTTTCCAAGCAAACATTAAGGGAGTCACAAGGCTCTCTCTCACTCTACAGTGATTCCCTGTGGTCAACATTGCGCTTGGTGGTGACCCCCAGAGCATGTATGTGGGTGTGCATGACCTTATATTCCGTCTCTCACAACATATAACTCTTTATACTCCCATAGTGCTTGTTTTTTACTATGGCAAGTAAGAAATGTCCACTCAAATTTGAGGGCCAGTTTCTTAGACTTAGACTAAAAATCCAGTTTATATTAAGATTAGACTTAGTCTGAGGTTGGGAAACCAGCCAATACAGTCAGAACTCAGGCTAGACAGCAGGAAGTTCTGTATATCATTTCATATTTGCAGCTGTTCTAATTACATTGAATTATGGAGTATTTTGAGCTGCGGGTATGTATAGCAGCGGGTGATTGGAGGAGGGGAGCTGTGTGTCGGAGGCCGAGAGACACTCCATTTGTGTGTCTGTCTCCCTCTGTTTGTCTTCTGAGTTAGACAGCGCTTTCTTTATTTTTGGCCCATGTCTTTCTGCTTTTCGGACGTATGTGCCAATGGCCTTGTGCCAGGCAGGAGTATGCTGAGGGTGAGACAGACTCTGGACGAGCCAGCCTGTCCACTCCCCTGTTTTGCACCCCTTTTTCGTATCTCCCTCATTTGTCCATCTCAAGTGTTACAAGGTGTGAACACTGTGTCATTCTGGCATGCAGGATGTTACCAACCCCCCAACATCACTGTCAGCAGTGTCTCTCTTTCTCTTCTACTGCCTCTTCTACTGCCCCCCTCTCTCTCTTTTACTGCCCCCCTCTCTCTTTTCTTCTGCCTTTCCCTTTCTCTCCCTCTCTCTATCCTGCCTCTTTCTCTTTTCATCTCTTCTACTGCCTCTGTCTTCTACTGCCTCTCTCGCCTTTTCTCTCTTATGTACTGCCTCTCTTTATATTCTACTGCCTTTTCTCTCTTTTATTGCCTCTCCTTTCTCTCTCTCTCCTACTGTCACTCCCTCTTTCCTACTGCCTCTCTGTTCTCTCTGTTCTACTGCCTCTCTCTCTCTTCCATTGCCTCTCTCTTTTTCTCTCTTATACTGCTTCTCTCTGCTCTATTTCTCTTTTCTTCTTCCTCTCTGTCTTTCTATTCCTCTCTATTCTCTTGCCTCTCTCTTTTGTACTGTTTCTTTCTTTTACTGCCTCTCTTTTCTACTGCCTCTCCCTTTCTCTCCCTCTCTCCATCCTGCCTCTTTCTCTTTTCATCTCTTCTACTGCCTCTGTCTTCTACTGCCTCCCTCGCCTTCTCTCTTTTATTGCCTCTCCTTTCTCTCTCTCTCCTATTGTCACTCCCTCTTTCCTGCTTCCTCTCTCTCTTCCACTGCCTCTCTTTCTTTTTCACTCTTATACTGCTCTACTTCTCTCTTTTCTTCTTCCTCTCTCTTTCTGTTCCTCTCTGTTCTCCTGCCTGTCTCCTGTGTACTGTTTCTTTCTTTTACTCTCTTCTGTACTGCCTTTCTCCTCTACTGCCCCCTTCTACTGCCTCTCTCCTTTCTACTGCCTCTGTCTTCGACTGCCTCTCTCCCTTCTACTACACCTTTCCTCTCTTTCTTGTCACCTCTCTCTTCTACTGTCTCTCTCTCTTCTCTTTCTTACTCTCCTACTGCCTCTCTGTCTCATTGCCTCTGTCACTGCATCTCTTCACTCCCTATCTTCTACTGCCTCTCTCCCTCTCTCTTCTGCTGCCTCTCTCTCCTACTGCCTCGCTCACTCTCTATTCTGCTGCCTCTCTCTCTTCCACTGCCTCTCTCCCCCTCTTTTCTGCTGCCTCTCTCTCCTACTGTCTCTCTCACTCTCTATTCTGCTGCCTCATACACCTACTGCCTCTCTCATTCTCTATTCTACTGCCTCTCTCTCTCTCTCTCTCTCTCTCTCTCTCTCTTTCTCTCTCTCTCTCTCTCTCTCTCTCTTTCTCTCTCTCTCTCTTTCTCTCTCTCTCTCTCTCTCTCTCTCTCTCTCTCTCTCTCTCTCTCTCCCCAAATATGTTTCAGTAAGATAAACACAGACTGTGTAAGAGAGGGCTGATGTTTCTGGAAATGGAACAAGCACAGTCAGGGATGTTCCCCCGTCATCTCTGCAGTCTTCCCCCTCCTCTTCTCCTGGCTGACTCCGAGTCTTTAAGAGGGCAGCTGGAGGTGAGAGTGCAGGTACATGCTGAGTGAGAGTGTTCACGCACACAGCAGACCAGATCAGCACCATGCAGGCAGTGTGGCTATTGTGTGTGTGCGTGAGTGTGTGTGTGGGAGCTTTAGCTCTGGAAACGGATTATCCGAACGCACTGGTAGAACGGGACAGTGAGAACGGGACAGATTCAGACTCACCTGCCAATGACATCTCAAACACACCTGCAACGGAGACAGCGATGGTAGATTCGAGTGAGATATCAAGTAAGTTGTTGTACGATTACATGAGTTTCACTGACTGCAGTACGCTGAGTTCTCAGATCTTACTGGAATAAAGGTAGAGTACATGAGCCGTCGAGTACTGATTTTTAATGGAAATATCTTTCTTATAGGATGTCTGTTTCATATATACATAATTTTGTTCTATCTATATAGCATTGCTGTTGTAAGATCAATCTTGTTTCTCCAAAGTGGTAACTTTACAGAAGAAGGCAAGAAATATTCTTAACTTTAATGTTAGTTAAGTTTAGGACCATTGTAAATATTCCATTCATCATAAAATGCTCACAGAATGTAAACAAAAAAAAGGTGTTATGAGATTTTGATAAACCAGTGATTGTTTTCTGGTTCTAATCGAGGATTTACTGCAGTTTTACATACAGAACTGTGCAAAAGTCAAAGACCACCCTTCATATGTTCAATTTCCATTCATTTTTCGGCGTCAGGCAGAAAGCATATATTTTAAACTCAAAATTACATGGAAGCCTCAACAGCTAAATATAATACGGTATAATGTGTGTCCGCCCTTGTCCTTATTACAGCCTCCAGTCTTTTCAGGAGACTTTCTTTCAGTTTTTCAAAGAAATGTGCAGGGATGTTTTTCCACCCCTCCAAAGTTCAGTCTTAATCTGTAATCCCAAACACATTCAGTGACACTGAGGTCTGGACTCTGATGTGGCCAGTTCATTGTTGCTCAATTTCAAACAAAGTTCAGTCTTAGAAGTTGGTTGCATTCACGAACAGTTTTCATGGTCTACCAGTTCTTGCTCGGTTGTAGGAATCCCATTTTCTCCTTATATGGTGTCCAGGTGCTGCTGCAAGTCTCCTTTTAAAGCCTGAAATATTAAATTAAAAGTCAGAGGCGTTGGGTCTGATTTCGAGGGTGCTGGAGGGTGTTTTTAAACCACGTCATACGTCTTTATATATTAGTGTCACACACACTGGCTCAGAAAGAAGGTCCATCTCAATGTTTAGGTTTCAAATGCAAAATTAACATTATACTGATAAAGATATGATGACAATAGTAGACAATTCACTTACATCATTGGAAGACACATCCTTCAGCAAGCTTTGAGCTCTCTTTCAATGTCCTTTCAATGCACTCACAAATGTCAGGTTTATCCACTCATGGGGGCCTGAAGCACAACTGATGTTGCAAAATGTTCTTCCACACACTGTGTGTAATTACACATTTCCACCAGAGGGGTCTCCAAAGGCCCTCAACTTACATAGTTTAGCTTTTATTCATTTTTTGGAAATTCAGTTTTGGAAACTCCTGAAAAATTACTGTCCATTTTGACTGAAAATGAAATAAATGAAGCATGGTCTGACTTTTTCACTGTGCTCTATATGTGCCTGACAGGGCTCTGATTTCCACACGAGTATAAATGTAGCATTCACTGCCAAGTGCCCCCTTCTTGGCTCACATCATATGTCCAGTTTTGTGTTGAGCTGCTGTTCAGTGTTGATATCAATGTGTTAAATCATGGATATGTTCTTGTAGAGGGTGAGGGAGCAGACGAAAGCCTGAGAAAGACACACTCTGGGGGTACGGCTGCAGACACCGAGGTGGGGCTGGATCCGCAGCGCAAATATTTGCCAACCAAAAAATTTTGCTTGTCTTTTATTCACATTTCTGCTCCCTTTCTGACGTCTTTTGTGAAAGTTTGAGAAGTGGACAGTTGAAGCAATACAAGTAAAAAGTTGCCAGTACAACTATATCAAAGCATTCTTTTGTCCATGTCCATTAAACGGCCCGGCTCCTTTGGTGTGGGCTCCAGCTCAGCTCAGTATGATGTACCCGCATTATAATGAGAGTGCTGGTCATTTTTATCTTTTTAACTGCAGTTTTCCGTCTCACAAATTGCTGTTTCTCTCTTTCTGTCTCTGCTATTTGACCACTATATTTAGTCTGTTTGTATGTCCATGGCAAATCCAGTCATTTCTGTATTTGATGTCTAATGATGGGCTCCGTTTTTCTGGGCTGGCCGGCGCTGCTGACACATCAGAAGCCTCTGGGGCGGACGCTGGCCGTGTGGGTGGAGCTCGCTTCCGTCTTGGCAAGGAGGGGCGGAGTAACAGGTAAACTGAACACCATACTGAATGAGCTCAAAGAGGAAAAGAAACGCCTCCTGGGCCTGGAGAGTGAAAGTGATGAGCAGGTGAAGAGGAAGAAGGAAGATGATGACGATGATGAGGAGGAGGAGGATGATGATGAAGAAGAGGAAGAAGAAGAAGAGGAAGAAGAGGAGGAAGGGGAAGAGGAAGGACAGGAAGAAGAGGAGGAAGAGGAGAATGAAGCTGCTAATAACAGCACTGCGTCCAGAGATGGCTTCACAGACTTGCTGCCGGAAGAATGCCAGCTGGGCGGAGGCCGCATTTCCTGTAAAGACATTGGCATGTCCCATCTGCCCATCATCACTGACCTCAGCATCACCATAATCGAGCTATCGGGTGAGTCGCATGCAGAAAACATCTCTGAATCTCCTTAACAAAAAACGTCAGTTTGAAACATGTGGTAACTATTCCTGTTTGTGATTGCTTTACATTAAAGGAAACAACCTCACTATATTACCTCCTCGGGGTCTCTCTGGTCTGCCTAACCTGGAAGAAGTTGACCTGAGCAGGAACTTCCTGGATGACTCCTCTATCAGTCCCAACTTCTTCATGGTACTGTATAATCCCTCAAATATCATATGAACATACATATACATACATCATCTAAACCGCTTATCCTTCTGGGTCCCTCAAATATCACTATACTTAATTATATCACTTACTTATATTGGCAGCAAGGAGCAAAGATCTATACTCTATTCAGTTGCTACATCGAACATGCACTAGGGCCTGGCCAATATGAACATTTTATCTATGATACCGAAACTAGTATCAAAAAAATGAGCTAAAAATCTGATAACTGACATTATTGACTGATATAAATTCTCAAAAGTAGAAATTCACAAAGTCTTAAATAATGTCAATATTGCAGTGCTTGAGGTGGAACTTCCCAACAAATGTTTTTGTGATCTTGACCATTATAAAGTTTCATGGTCAGGTTTACCAGTTCAGCTTGTATTGCTGTAAGAAAGGTGAGCAGCTGGTAACTGTCATTTTTGCAGTTAAGAGTGATGTAACAACATTTAAAGTCCACAGGAAAGAATCATTTTCCTCACATTTAAGTTGTGTTCATTATAATAGGCTATGAAACAAGGCACTTTAAAATAAAACCTGAAATATTTGTCCAAGCCCAATGGAACCAGACTGCTTTATTACCGTAAAACATTTTTAATCTGGCATGCTGGAGTCACTCATTCATGTTGTTCATAGAATTTAACCCACACTCCAGAGAAAATGGATGTTGAATGTCAAAAGTTGAGTGCTGTCTAAATTATGTTTGTTATTTTGTTTGGCAAAAATGTTTTTATATGTTTAATATGTCATCTGTAACATAAAGTTTTGGTATTAAACGAGTGAAGCCTGATGTCTCGCTATATTAGCACTGCGCAGTGTGAGCTGTGAAAAGTTGTGAAGAGTTTATCCAGACTCAAACTTTTGGGATGTTGTTCGAAAGCGTTGGTCGATGAATTCATTAAAGTGGATTTTAAACTTAATTGTGGAGGGCAGGTTATTTTTATTTAATTTATCCATGATCCTTTATTTATCCATGACCTAAAGACGGCTATAATTGTTGTTACATGGTAATTTAACCAGTGCTCATTACACGGCGCACTGAGTGAGGTTGGCTCTGTTTGAGGCGGTTTATGAAGTCATTTTCAGGCTTGAGTCAGTTTTGGATTCAAAACGTGATGATGTGGTTTGGGTTAGGGTGGGCTCAGAGAGAGAATTTTGTTGGGGTTAGGCCAGCTTTGAACGTAACACTTGATGATGTGATTTGGGTCAGGTTGGGCTTGGACAGGATAGGCCTATTTTGTTGGGTTTGGGTCAGTTTCAGATTCAAGACCTGATGATGTGGTTCAGGTCGGGCTTAGATCAGGTTTGTACTCAAAATGTGATGATATGGTTGGGCTTGGACACAAAGTCTTTGTTTTTGGGTTGAGACAAAAATTTCAGGATCAGTAAGAGCTCTTCTTCAAAGTGCTTTGTTGGTGGGATTTTTTTGTTGATTCCCATAAATAGATGGAACCTTAATATGAACTGATATTATCAGCCAATCGATATATCGATCAGGCCCTAATTGCCATGACAATAAAAAAATGTCAAAATATTTTACTGAAGATAGCAAAATAATGAATATAATAAATCTATAATAATAATTATAATAATAAAAGTTATTTATTATAGTTTGATATTTTGTCACTTATTTGGAAAAGGTGGATGACTTAGAGGAGGATTGAGATAATTTATCATGAAAACAGCAAGTACTTTTGGGGTTTATTATAGTTTTGGTGTCACTGCCACAGGACGTTTTAGGGTTTCCATTTCTCTCAGCCTTTTCAGCAAATCATACTGTGAGAAAGGTTTCAGATGTCAGCCCTCAAAATACAACTGATGTGCCAGCTACATGGCGGTTTCAGCTGAGCCCAGATTCTCCCAGAATAACCATTTGTCTCTCTGAGACCTTGAGGACTGGCCACATAGACCTCCTAGGGCAGTAGCTGCTTCAAAAAACACTTGGAACCACAGTCTGACCAGTGGAAAGTTCTGGAAAACTTCAGCATCCTGTGGTGTTCTGGCTCTGCAGGTCCGTGTAACGAGCTGGAGAAGCAAGTGCTCTTTAAAGGGGAGGAAATGGGGTCAGATTTTACAGTGTCCACTCCTGATGTGCCACCAGTGTCGAGGGCCAGGAGACTAGCAGGCTGACAGGGACAGACAAAGAGTGCCATTGGGCTGAGCTGATGGCAGTGTTTAGAAAGAACTGCCTTTACCTCAAAATAACCCACCAGCATAAGAGTCCCTGGCAAAAATGGAGACTATTCATTTGGTGGTTATCCTGGAAATATGGCCAGATTAAATTGGCATCACAGTTAAACAGATGATGTTTAATCACTGAGCCCAAAGCTATATTCTGCAGTGATTCATAAATGTCCTCGGGGAAGAAGGAAAATACGCTCTCTTTTTATCCCTAACAGAACCTGACAAAGCTGAAAAGACTGACCCTTGACGGTAATGATCTAGTGACAATCCCGCGTCTGCCGCCGTCTCTGGAGGAGCTGAGGATCAATGACAACAAAATAAGCCAACTGCTTACACAAAGCTTCAAAGGTTTGGCCTGATGGTTTGTTTAATCCTCATTTAAAAGTCCCAGTAAAGAGTAAGCGTATATATTTCAAGCGCATATATTTTCATTCATTTCATTTCATATATTTCATTCATTAATTTTTATGGGAATTTCATAGAAGAATTCCAAGAAATGTTAGAGATCTTTGTTACAAGTATGTCTTTTAAACCTCCTGTAGGTTTGTCCAACCTGCTTGTCTTGGAGCTGACAGGAAACATCCTGTATGAGGGCAGTGTAGAGCCCTGGGCCTTCAGACCTCTGAAGGTGCTCAAGCATTTGAAATTAGACAACAACCGATTCAGCTCCATCCCAACTGGACTGCCTCGCTCCTTAGAGGTGAGATCAGTGGTTCAGCACATACTTCATTGTGTCAGTATCAGTAACTGAAATCATCAAATATTACTTTTTGATAAAACAAACAAACCATTATGTGTGTATTTACAGGATTTGAGGATGTCCCACAATCAGATAGTGGAGGTCCAGGACCATGTTCTGAATAAGTCTGTCCACCTGAGAGTGCTGGATCTGAGTCATAATCTCCTGAGAGAGAACAGTTTCTACCCTGGAGCCTGGATCAACCTGCCGTGAGTCACTCTAATGTATCTTTTATTGCTTAAGTTCAGAGACCCTTAGTAATAGGTAAGAGTCCTCCACATGGAGAATGCACATACCTTTATCTGCTTAATAAGACAGGCACCAGTAAGAATTTCGGGCCCCCTGACAATTTCTTGCATGGGCTCCCTGCCTCACCTCATTTGCGTTAACATAACTTGTCCCAACATTAAATCCTTACAATATTTTCAGAACTTCGCACTGAATTTTGTTATACGTTCATAATTGTAACGCTGTGAATATAAGTAACATGACTGTATGTCAATGTACTGTATACAACTAGCTGAAACTGTAATGTGTTGAAGCAAAACTCTATAATGAACTGTTTTTGACTAGTATTAAAACGTACATACATTATTCAATCACTCACTATAATCTCTACAAACCTACTCGTTTATCCAGCTACAGATCATGAAATTCACTCTGCTTCTCTTTGACTTTTGGGATACAGAAAATATTTGCATTGCAAAATTATATGTCCAAAAGTATGTGAACACTCCTAATTAGTGCATTCAGCTGCTTTAAGGTCCATCCATTACAGGTGTTCAGTTGTACCCACAGAGCTATAATCTCTGTAGAAAAGCACTGACAATAGAATGGGGCAATCTGGAGTAGCAGTACATGAGCTTAAGGTCACCATACCCTGTGTCAAGCATCGTCTAGAGGGGTATAAAGCCTAAAGCCCTCCACCATTGGTCTGTGGAGCAGCAGAACTGCGCTCTTTGGAATAATGTAATGTTTGTGATCCAGATTTAATCATCCAGCATCAGGACGTGATCACTAAAGCTCTTCTAGCTGAATGCAATCAAATCATCACAGCAATTCTCCCAAATATAGTGCAAACCTTGAGTAGAAGCTGAACAAACTCCCTATTAATACCCATGATTTCAGAAGAAACACTGGATGTTCAGGTGTCTACAAACCTTTGGACATATAGGGTATTAATTTATGAGGGAAAAGCATGAGGTTCTGTTTAGACAGCTGTGTCACATCATTTCCATTTGACGGCTGCAGTTACTATAGCATAAGCTTCCTTTTAAACAGTGCCAGTATATCTTGATCACCCACTTTTAACTGGCTGACATCCCCCCTTTTTCTGTCCTTCTTTATTTGCAGTGTTCATCTTAATTTAAAACAAACTCGTTCTTCTTACAGACTGTGACTGTGCTAAACTTCTGAACGCTTATATGTGGGGGCAGGGGTGGGTGGTCACCGGAGTGGTGACAGAATGCGGTATGCATTGCTGTTGCCACTGTATCTAAAACTAGTCGGTAACTATTTTTAAACGAGTGTAACATTTGAATTAAGATCGTTCAGTAAGCCTAAAATTCTCATTAAAAAAGGCGCGGTTTGAGGTTGACGTCCTGAGTACCAAAGGTGGGTGGAACAGCCTTAATCCTGGTAAACTGTAGTGTTATTTCAATTAAACAGAAATAAAATAAAACTAGGCAAAAATAGTTGGAGTAGAAGTTAATAAAGTACCAGTTCAAACAAGGGGTGGGCGAAAAAATACTGAAATATTAAAACTTCTGATCCTGATTCTTTTTGAGAATTGATCCTCTCATGACAGTGTTGGTCATTTTTTTTTCTTTAAGCAGAAACTGAATATACTGTACATAAATAGTATTAAACAAACAGTATTAATATACAAATAAATGTGTGGGAAGGGAATTACGTTTCCGTGCTCTCCTCCTGCTTTTCACACTCACAGGCACGGAGGTCCACATCCGATGTAGTGAACGGTCTATTTTGGGAGAGTTATTTTAAACAGTCAGTTTATGTGGCAGTTTATTTAACACTAATGCAAATGTGTTTAGTTATTATTTTTACTATTTTTCACTGTAGAATTTTTATGTGTACAAGGAGACTTAGCGTCAGTGGGCCTCATTCAACAACTGTTCTTAAAACACACGCACACACACACACACACACACACACACACACACACACACACTTTCTAAGCCACTTATCCTTCTGGGTTGCGGGGGGAGCTGGAGCCTATCCCAGTGGTCTTTGGGCGGAAGGCAGGATACACCCTGGACAGGTCTCCAGTCCGTCGCAAGGCAGACAGACAGACACTCACACCTTGGGGTAATTTAAGATTTGTAAGAACAGAATCTACACACACACACAAGAGCACAAATGTGTGAACAGTTCTGCGGTTTAATAACACGTCATGAATCCGACATAGACTTTTTCTTAGGACCTTTCTCAGGAACAACTTTAAGAAAAAACTTAGTAAGATATTGGTAAATGAGGCCCAATATTGGAATTGCTATCTGGAGATCAGCCATGTAATCACTTGGCGTCGGATCAAAAAGAAAAGTAGCGGTGTTGCCCATCACTGGCTCAAACTCAAGTACTGACTCTCCTCTGGAACTTCACTGGAACTTCTTAGTGCATCTCTCATCCATCAGGAATATCGTAACTGAAGTTCTGGCCTCATTAAAATGCTAACACTTGGTGTGAGTAACAGCAAGCAGTGCTGGCGTTAAACCAACTGAACACAATGATATCAAACACAAAAGGAGAATTAAAAACTCAATGTAAAAGGCTTAAAGGGGAATTCCACTGATCTTTCAAAAATTTTGCTTAAATAGATCATTCAGTAGTAGACTAGAGATTCAGTGAGTCAGTAGTGATTCAGAGCAGTCTGATGTGAAATGCTTCATTCTAAAGAAACTTGTCAACTCAGATTTTTTTTTTACTTTGGTTGTGATGGGAACCAGGGGTAGCAATGTCTACAATGCAAATATAGCCATTTTTTTGTTTATATTTATATTATGTACATACATTATGTATATTTCTGAGTTTTCATATATAGTGTTGATAATGTTAAAATAGACAAGAAACCTTTTCATCTGGGACTATTTTGTTTGACAGTGCCCTGCATGTACCTTTCCATCATGAATGGATTTAAAATATTCTATAGGCCAAAACAAGATAATGTCTCAGACATCAGGAACATATTAGTAATTATTTTACGTGGTGCTTTTCTGTGAGGGAGCTTTTAAAGGCATTACACTCTTCAGATGTCTGGTTCATATCACCACCACTGTGAACAATTCTGACTCGATAAGTTTCTCTGGAAAAGAGTATTTCACATCGAACCACTCTGAATCACTTTGTTTACATGTTACCACTTTAATTATGCAGAAATTGTAAAAAAAAAAATTCCCTTTAAGTGGAACAGAGTGAAAAGTAGATTTCTTTCCTTACTGATATTTTTGAGTAAAAGTATTACCATTTGAAAATACTCAGATAAGCACAAACGCAACAACATTTTACTTCAACACAGATAACGGAGTAAACTTAATACCCTCCATTGCTCCAAGTACAGTATCTAATCAGTTCATTTAGATCAGTGGTTCCCAATTTCGGTCCTGGAGGACCCTCTGCACTGCGCATTTTAGTGTTTGCCTTGCTCCCAACATGCCTGATCCAACAAATCCGCTAATTAACAAGCCCTACCTGAGTTGAAGTGGGTGTGTTTTGGCAGGCAAACCCAAAAAGTGCAGGGCTGGGGTTCCTCCACAACCAGGGCTAGGAACCACTGATTTAGATGACAGGTCCCATTGGTGTCCACTGATTGTGATGTATTTTCCTTAGTGACCACTAGAGGGCACACATCAGCCATGTTTAGATCCGTCACCCTTGTGCTTCCAACAAGGACGCTGCAGTGAGAGAGTGTCCCAGAATTACATTCTGAGCTGGCCCTATGTGTTTGGCCTCTCTCATGGTCAGTAAGTGAGCTGGCCTATCCTCTGTCCTGCACTTCTCAGCCTCAGCCTGGGACCCAAGGGTCACTCTCCTGCAGGGGAGATGTGTATCTCTCCAGGGTTTCCCATCACTCACTCATGCACTACAGAAGCGCTCCAGTGACTGCGGCGAGCCGACAGCCAGCACACTCAGCATTACTGAGCCTCTTTCAACTGCCAAACACACCGAGTGATGGTGATAAGATTAGAAGAGCAAGCTCGCAAACACTCGTCCCTCGTCCTGTCGGCCGCGGGCATGAGGCCCTTCGGTTGGTGGTTGATTAAGATGGCGGGCAGTGGTGCAGTCATTGACCCCTGCAGGGCCCTGCAGCCCAGGGCTGTTTCATAATTAAGGATGAGCTGTGTCCCCAGAGGCCTCCTGCGGGGCGCCTGTGCTGCGGTGTGGAAGCTCAGCCAACTGTAGTGGGACGGAGGGTGGGTTAGCGGGCAGGCCGGGGTGGCTTTAGCCTATGCGAGGGAGGATCTGTGGGTTTTTTATTTACACTACAGTTCAAACATTTGGAATCAGGGTTTTCCAAAGTATATATAACAGTTTAGCTGCAGATACATTATGAAATCATTCTAAAACGCAAACCCTCAGGTTCTCAGGTACTGAGTAATTATTCAGAAGTTGTCCAGAATTTAGAAGAATCTAAAATGACCGAGAAAGCTACGTGGCATCTCAAGTTATAATAAAAAGAAAGGGGAATTCCACCAATATTTCCAAATTTCTGCAGAATTTGAAGGGAAAGATGTAAGCAAAGTCATTCAGAGTAGTAAGATGTAAAATGTTTAATCGTACAGAAAGAGTGACAGTTGTTCACAGTGGTGGTGATAGGAACCAGACATCTGAAGAGTTGAATGCCTCTGAAAGCCCCCTCACAGAAAATTACTACATAAAATTGGTTATGAATATACTGCCTGATGCCTGAGACATTGTTTTACGATAGTTTAGAGATCAGGTTTTGGGGTAAAACCGAGAGGTACATGAAGGATGTTGTCAGGCAAAACAACATTCGTCGTCAGCCAACAAAAACGTTATTTTTTTTTTTTTAGATTTACCACTGTTTTACCATTATGTACCATTACTACATAATTACAAAATCCTCAGAAGACTCATAGTTTCACTGGTCATTTTGAACAGTAGATAAAATGGCTATATTTGTGTGTTAGGCTTTGCAACCCCTGAGTCCTATCTGAGCTGGTTTCTCTGT